AGGCAGGATGAAGCTATATGAAGAAAATTTTAGCAGGAATGTTATGCAACGAGCTGACAAGTAAATGGTGAAGACGCATGAAACATCGAAAGCTTTTATTGTGTCAACGTTTCGTTCAGCGAAGGAAACTCTTGTGTCATTATCATTCTAAGTCTGATTCACGAAAAAATATTTATATGCCCTGTTAATTTCGCGAAAATGTATCGAATAATCCATCAAAAAAAAAAAAGGCTAATACACTGGTTTTTGTACCGAGAAGTGTATATTTCTCAATATATATGCACTGAGGTATATACATACTATAATCCGTATCTTAGAGCTAGAAGTATCCTTGACTGGTGGTAAATGGTTGACAAACAGCATTCGATAACCTTGAAACTCAGATAAACAGGCGGAACACCTGTACATCCGAGACAGTGGTGTGCAGAGGTCTGGTGATGCCCGGGGCCAACTCCTTGATTGTATGCCCCAAATCACTGTCTTATTTCCCTCTCTAATTGGATGTCCCCCCCCCATATGATGCCCGGGGCCACCACCCATTCGGCACTTCCCTCTGCACACCACTGATCCGAGAGTACCCATGAAGACTATTAATATTCACAACAAGCTTTTAATGGAGCCACGCTTCAAAACTAAGAAAAAAAAAAGATTTATGAAGTGCAAACTTTTATAAAACGCGAAGCGATGTCCAATTAAAGAAAAAAAGCGCTTGTTCTTCACATTATGTTGTCATGCCCATGATTTTAAGCCCAATAAACCAACCACATCATATGCGATTATTTAAAACAAAATTCGACTTTATTCGACATAGCCTCGCACAAGTGCGCACAATTATAATACTGTGAAATCGGAATCCCACCATCGGTAATTACTAGGATGTGAAACAGCCAGTGAGGCCTTTAGTGTTGCACTGAAATATTTAATATGAAAACCCTTATAGAGCATAGTTTTTCGACATGGCAATTTAACAGGTTTCCCAAAAGGCCTTTTACCCCCATGCACTGCTGTGCTAATTAAAATTTGTATTCATATTTGTATAATTGATTTATATAATTGGTTTACAGTATATAATTGATTTATATAATTGATTTATGTAATTGATTTATATTATTTGTACTACTGTTATTATTATTTATATAATCTTCCTGTTTATATAACAATTTTTGTTATATAAAATTTTGAGTAGATTTTTTAGTTTAAGAATTGGTACTGCTAAATCTATCATATATTAGAAGGTAGTAAGCCTTGCTCCAACGCCTTTGACCAAGAGCTTCTAACCGGCATCAAAAACATCAACACACAGGTACACCGAGTCTTATGACATACGACATAAATTATCTTCCATTATTCCGCGTTCCTCATTTTTGGCAGATATATAAGGGGAAAATAATCCCAATAAACCTCCTTAAAAAGAAGCAGCGATTCCCCTTTTTTATATAAAAGAATTTTTCATTAGGAGAGAAAGAAAAGAAATGAAAGGTGTTCGCGACATCCCGGCTGCCTTTAATTGATCCCCAGGGAGGAGCTGGCTGCTCCCGGCTCGCCACAAAAGAAATTGGCTTCATGATCAAATAAATGTCAGGGCAAGTTTTATCATCTTTAGAGCAAGAGCTGCCTGAGTATAGTGAGATAACATGTCTTGTGCTTACTGGGAGGAAGACAGTCTCTCCATAACTTTTTTCCTGAATATTCTACATGGGTTTAGTATATCATATATTATTATTATTATTATATTAAAGTAATGTTAATAAAATAAAATAATTGTTTTATTTGCTGTGCGATCAGAATTAGCATCAAGACACACACAAACCATTAAAAATCCTAGAGAGAGTTAGAGATATTAGTGTTAAACTTTTGAAGTATCAGAAGAGGCTTTCTCAAGTTATCGCACGGAATTCAAATTCACACATGTTTTTTTCTAAAATAAACTAAAGGTTCCTGTAGGAGCCTTTACCTATTCAGGGTGCACCAACGTTGAAAATTTGAAGCCAGTCTGAGGCATTCTGAAGTTACAATCGAAAGTTTTTGGGAGGAAACTAATTCTGATTACTATAGGTTACTGTTTTTGAGGTATACCTAATTAACGATGAGACAGGTAAATACATAAGTGTTTCGATCACCGCAAGATTTAAAAAAGTATTGCCGCAACCCATGAGTCTAGCTTTTTGGATCTTCACGCACACGCCAGTTTCTAATACAATTACCAGACATGAAGGCGCCAAGGCAGTCAACCAGAGGAGGAATTCACAAGCTATCACGTGGAAACTATCTGATTATCTGAAGTGAAAATAGCACAGCGACACGTACACAGCCTAAAATGAGTGAAAGGCTTCCACCTAGTAAGATGCACTAGGTTTGAAAGTTTAAAGCCAATCACAAGAGGCATTCTCTTGTTACTGCACTAAAACCCGAGACTAGTATCTCAAAATTCACCAGAATTCTAAGTCTGAAACCACTTAAGAAGTTGCATTCTCAAGTTGACGGTGATGAGGTTTTTCAAGCTGATTGAATGCGACAAAAAATTATCGATTAAAAACCAGTATTTAATCTTCCAAAATTCTTCAGTAAAATTGACAAATTAGCAGCAAGACGGCCCAAAGTAAATTCAAATATATTTTTAATTAGTAAAACACATCAATATTTAAGGTTTGAAGCCGATCAGAAGAGGCTTTCTCCAGTTGTTGCGCTGAAACCATTATATTTAATAAACTGGCATAATAATATTAGTGTAAGCTTTCCTTAGAGCAAAACCCACAATCTTTGAATATTTGACGGTTGTCAGAGGAGACATTCTCCTAGAGCCTGGCCCAAAGCCGGGCTCTGGGAGTACAAAACTTCTCGGAGCTCACCAAAAGTATTTCAGAGGTATGTAAATTATTGCTCAGATTTCAACCATTCTAAATTTCCTAACTACGCTAGTAAACTGCCAAATCTTCCTCCACACAACCTAAACTTACAGGGTATCATGCTATTGCGTCTGTCTGGCGCTGAGCAGACAGAGGATCGAGCCTCCACCACGTCTCGCGCTGAATGACCATCACGGGTTAAGAGCGTAGCATGATTACCAATTATTAACTATTATTAATCAGCCATTAACGTTTGAAGCTCTTCAGAAAAGTTATTTTCAGGTTGTATTATTAATACGCTATTTTAAAAATAAAATTGTTAATTAACACATGAAGCTTTGAACATTAGTGTTGAAAACTTAAGTCAGAAAAGTTATTTCGAGGAAACTATAAATAGAAATGTTTTGGAGAAAAAAGTATAAAAAACAGACACGATGGAAAAATTAAACGTAAATGCAGTATGCGATCCTTTGTTGACTACGTTTCTCCCGTAACCTAACCTAACCTAACCTAGTTGACTACGTTTCGCCCACAAAGTGGGCTTTAACAAGTTGCAAATAGATCTACCCTGCATATACAGGGTGGAAAGTCAGGTGGTAGAATGTTGAGAAGGTTGGATCTGAGACGGTCCATCTCCACCTGACTCGCCACACTATGTATACTGACGTGCTGGTTACCCAGGTAGATCTGTTTGTGACTTGATAAAGTCCACTGTGTGGGCGAAACGTTGTCGGTAAAGGATCACATTATACTGCATTTGTGATTATTTTTCTACTGTAATTTTTATATAAAATTTACCAAATGGCACCTTCACGTATAACATTTAGGTGTGTGAATTTTTCCCTTAGTTACGACACACCAACAGTGAAAGTTTGAAGCCAGTCGGTAGAGGCGTTCTCAAGTTATGAACTAAAATCAGTGGAAAAATATAAAGGTGTCAAAGGTGGATAACTGATTATGCAGTGTTATTGAATGTATAAAATAAGTAAATAATTCCATAGACGAATTTGTAAATGAATGGTTGTAAATGCAAGGAGAGTTTTGTCTTCTATCATTTACAGTTATTCTTTATTGGCATGATCAAAGAATGTAAGATATAAGAATGTTCAACTAAAAGAATGTGTAAATATAAGAAATAGTCAGCAGATTAATAAATAAATAGCAGAGAAAACTGTCTTTGAAAACCAAATTTTTAATGGAAGAGGGGAAACAAGATCCCACCATGGCTGTTATAGCCAATTATACCCGAGTCTTTGTCGCCGGGGGATGGGCTTAGCCATCCTTCCTTCCTGCCATTAATTCTGCGCTTCACTCTTGTTCGCAACCCCTCACCCCTAGCCCCCCTTACCCTCCTAACCCCCCCCCCCCGACCTTCCATTTCCCAGGGTTGCAACTCGCGCTAAACTGCCTACCTTAGGAAATGTGCTCAACCACCTGCAACATGTTTCACACCCGTTCAGTGGGATTATCTGTTCGCGCACATCTTTCCTCCCTACCACTGTTCCTAATCCGTCCTCTCGTCTCTTTCACCCTTCTCCTCCCTTTCTTCTCCTTCCCTTTCTCCTTCCCTCTTCCTCATTTCTCCCCGTCCTCCCTTAACCCTCTTCCTTCCTCTTTGCTAACGAACATTACTCCTTGATATTAAGCATTGGGTAGCCTGAGTTGCTGAGTGCTTACGAGGACATAATCCATTGTGAGTACATGATATCCACTGAGCACATAATACCCACGAGAACACTATGCCCAGTGAGTATATAATACCGAGTACATAATACTTACTAGGTATATAATACCAGCTGGAGATATATATTATCAACTGAGTACGCAGCTGCAATATATTAATGTATGCAAAATTATGTATCTCACAATTTCATGTGTTCTTAATTTTCATAATTAAAAAAATGAAAACAATAGTGTACCTGTCACCTATTTGTCTGTAGCACCTCGAGGTAGATACCTTGACACCGGTGAGGGGGCTCTTGATCCACGGCATTGTACCTGTCCTCCCTTTCCTTACATTGAACCTGATTATCATTCTCCAGGCTCTCTAATAGCTATTTCCAATAATAATAATAATAATAATAATAATAATAATAATAATAATAATAATAATAATAATAATAATTAATAATTATAATAATGTTTACCTTGCAGTAACGTCAGGACTGGAGATCGTGACCATCGAGGGTCCGGGAGTAGTGAAGAACGGCTCAGTGCCCCAGCTCGTTCTCGACTGCAAGTACGACATCACAGAGTACGACAAGACAGGTCTGGTGGTCAAGTGGTACTTCAACAGGCAACCATTTCCCGTGTACCAGTGGATACCCACCAACGAGCCTCAGGTGGGTGTTGGGAAAATTTTGTGGTATACGTACATGAAAAAGGCAGTTAGCAGAGGACTTGGAAGTCTACACTATCGTGTATTATCTAGGTGTGTTAGCTAAGGAGAGACACGCAGTGGAAGGGGAAGTGGTAGTAGCATGTGTAACATCTGTGGTGGTGGTAGTTATGGGGTTATTTGTGGTGGTAGTTGAGGTAGTGTTGTTTGGTGGAGGTCATGGAGTGGTGGAGCTAGTTGTGTCGGGGTGGTCGGCATGATGGTAGTTGAGATAGGCCTGATAAATGACAGTACGTGGATGTGCCTGTTGGCAATTGTGGTAGCTGATGTTGGTGGAGATAATGGTGGTAATAATCATGTCTATAGTGGCGGGAATGGGTGGTTATGGAAATGTTGAGTGTGCAGAATCAAGGATAGTATCTCTGATTGGTGATAGCATAATCAAGGGTAGTATCTCTGTTGTTGACAGAATCAAGGATAGTATCTCTGTTGGTGATAGAATCAAGGGTAGTATCTCTGTTGGTGATAGCAGAATCAAGGGTAGTATCTCTGTTGTTGATAGAATCAAGGGTAGTATCTTTGTTGGTGATAGCAGAATCGAAGGTAATATCTCTGTGATAGAATCAGTGACAATATTGTGACTACAGAATTACTGTTAATATTGTAGATCTGCTAGTGGATCTGATCAACGTCTATTCCTGTGTAATCGTAACCTTCAAATGTTCTTATTCCATCAAAGAAAACCATTTTGTCATTAAGTCATTAACAAACGTATAAAATAAATAATCACCCATGGGTAGCAACATTTGTTATCACGGCGATAATTTTCAGCATAACTCTCTTAGCATGGGGCATTTACAGACCGCTTCTAACTTTTGAACTCAGAAAATATAAACTTGGAAGAAAACTTCCGCTTACAAACTTCTCTTCACTCGACTAAATGCTTTTCCGACTTGCCCGGGCTCCTTAACCTACCGATTCGTTTCCTCTTGAAAACTTCCCTTTACCCTCGTATTAAGGTTAGAGCCCCTAAATTGACGTGTTAAAATCTGTGAATTTGGAAGACCTCAGTAGCAGTCCACAGCGTCTCTCAGGGTGAAGGTATGCACTGTCCCTCTCATCTGAGCCTAATGTACTGAAGAAGAGGAAGGCTACACGTGAAGTTATATTTATAAGGAAGATGAAGGGAAAAAAGTGACCCTCTGAACCTGTATTGACCAGAAAGAGGCTAAAAGTGAACCTCTTTATTGATAACGAACAGGATGTTAAAAGTATCCTTCCGAACTTGTATTGATCAAGAAGAGAAAGGTTCAAACTTTTTTTTTTTTAACCTGCATTGATCTAAAGGTTAGGCCCGAAGATACACCTCTAAACCTCCATCGATCAGGAAGGGAAGACCTAAAGATGAACCTCTGAACCTCTATTGATCAGGAAGGAAAGACCTAAAGATGAACCTCTGAACCTCTATTGATCAGGAAGAATGGTCTAAAAGTGATTCTCTAGGTTACCCGAGAACTGTTACTGTTACTTTGTTAACACAGTCTCTCCCAAGTTAGCAAGACAATGGTTTCCTACACGTCTTGTGCAAGCTGGAATGTGTCTGTCTCGTAATTAGCGAACGGAGAATATAACATTTCTTGCGTTGATGGCCAGCAGTTTTTCTTTTATGAATACAAAAAAATGAACTCTTGACTGATGTTTTCCCCGGCGCACCTACGCTGTTTTGATTATTCGATTCGCATGTCCTGGTAAAGATTTTTCATTTTTTTTTATCCTTCCTGGTGCAAGATCTTGCACTCTAAAGATGTTTATCACAAGGAAGGAATCTCAAGGAACATAGTTCATCTTTAAACTGGTTAACTCGTTTCAGTTCATCCTTAAAATACCAGAGACTGCTTGTGCGAAAGAGACGGAGGATCTTCGAAATGTGTGAGAGGGTTAAATAGATTGCTTCGGTGCTTCGTACAACGATGAATGTCCTTTTTGTTTTCGACTCCATGAAAATGTAAATTAAAACATTGTTGATGATTGTTTTTTTTCAGTTTCTTAATTTGACTCAAGTCACCTTTGGAATTCCCAGATAAATCAATATCTACGACAGGATGGAGAGTCGACAGCTGGTATGAGACGAAATAGTTGTAAATAATTTCGTTTGCATTTGTGGATTGTAAAAACATATATATATCGTGGCGAACAGGCATAATTTGCGATTTTGGCTTAAATAGCAACGCTCTTCTTGCCGAATTAGGCAAGCGAAAATTTGTGTACGCAATAATTTCGCGAAAATCATTCTGAACCTAACGAAAGAAATATATTTCATTGTGTTTGTTTATTATTAAATTACTGTAAACTTATCTAAAATATATTTAGTAGGATTAGGCTAAATTAAATTGCGCTTGTTATAATAAGGTTAGGCAAGTTTTCTAACATTCTTTTGGTACAAAATTATTAATTTTTACATAAACATAAATGAAAAAATATATCTTTAAACTTACAAGATATTTTTTTAAAAGAACTTAATTTTAAGAGAGTTCTTGCTAACTAATATATATATCACACATACATATGTAAACTCAGCATCTTAAAAAGTCGCTAAAAAATATTCTGAATATTTCTACCAGTATCTGAGACCCTCTTCAACAAAAGAATTACTTTTCTGAAGAGGGCAACAAACTAATTATTTTAGTGAAGAGGGTTTCATATGCTGGACTGAAAATTTAGTCTGTGTTCCTAATTACTTCTGCAGATAATGAGTATATTTCATTGTCCAGTGAGCTATTGTTGGAAGAACTCACTTTAGAAGACACCTTGTTATTAATTAATGTGGTCAGTTTGCACATTCAATATTGTCTGGTTTGTGAGTATTTTGCAAGCTAGGATTGTTATTTTATGGAGAGCTAAAAAGGGTGCTTAACTATACTCACAGATAGAGGATGACACATGAGTTGAGATGGATGACATTGCTCTCACTCAGTTGTAGAGAATTTGATTCCCATTCTCTGCAGAGGAATATTGATTTTCATCTTCTCCAGAAGATTATCTCTTGTTCTCTGAAGAGCTCTTGATTCATTGAAATGGAGCAATCTTCCTCTTGGATTAAGCCTGATTGCCTTCCATTTCCAAGGTATTGCATGACCTCCTACCACTTACCAATCCCATGATTGTGAGAAATTAAAAACATAATAATTTAATAATTTAAGGAAATTAATAATTTAATGAATTTAATGTTATAATTTAAAGAATTTAATCATTTTAATTTTAATTATAATCCGCAGAAGATAACTTGAATTCCTAACCCCTGCAGGACTTGGGACTCCTGAAGGGTCGTCTCAACTTAGATTACACGGTGTCTGAGGAGGAGTACACTAAGCACCGAGCTCTGGCTATCCTCAGGCCAACTACAGAGCTCACCGGGGAGTATACCTGCTCGATCTCGTCTTTCGAGAGCGAGGACTTGAAGAGGAAGTCTCTTATTATATACGGTGAGTACCAGTGGCCGTGTTGAAGAAGACTTACTGTGTTGTAACCAGTGTCGTTATTGGTCCAGTTAACACTGTTGTAACCAGTGTTGTCATTGGTCCACTTAACTGTTGTAGCCAGTGTTGTCAATGGACCTGGAGATGTTTACCTGGCGGAGGTTTGCCGGAGCAGCGTCAAGGCTTTCTTGGTGATAGTTGTGTCAGCGAGGTTGTTGCGGGTGTTGACTGTGGGTACCATGGAGTAGGGGTGACATGTCTTGTGGCAGGTGTTTCGCAATATCTGACAGGTATATCTTAACATGTAACAAGTGTGTCGCACTGTGGCAAGTGTTTCGCATGAGGTAAGTTTTGATATACCCTGGGGTAGGTGTTAACATTCAGTGAGACAAGTGCTATCATACCCTGCGTCGTAGATCGACATGCCACGCACCAGGTATTGACATACCTTACATCACCTACTACTTGTACTCTCCCTAGCTGTAGTACCAATAACAATGGATATCCTAAAGTTTTCTTCCACACAACGATGTGAGATTTATATACCTTAAATTACAACCCCAAGCGGGAACCTCCGGGCCTCCCGCCGACCCCATGTATCACCGTACACAAATTATAATATTGACATGCCTCATACAGGGGGAGGGAGGAAGGCCATTATGGCCCCGGACGTGCAAATCAGTGACTATTGAAAATGTTCAAAATTGAGTTGGACCCCCGTGAAAAGCAACATTGAAAATATATGACTACCTGTTGAGCGCAACATACGTACGTCATTATTTTGTTTCTCTCTTCTGTAACGTGATAACATTAGTATGTAGGCCACGGCTGTGCGGTTATATGTAGATGTATAAGACGATAAATGATGGTTATAAACAGTCATATCAAAGAAGAAACTCTGATTAATACATTTCATCTACTAGTGGTTTATTTAGCAGTTGGCCAAGACCCTAAAAAGCAGAACATTGTCAGACGTAAATATGGTATTAGAACCTAAGTTAGAGAGACGTTTGGCCAGTCCCTGCTGTGTGAAAAGCCATTTAAATAAGTGTCCTAATATCGCATTTGTGTCCAACATACTTGTCGGTGTTTTTTTTTCCTCAGAATTGATAACATAAGTAATTGAATAAACGGAAGTTTTTTTGCTACAAGTGTCTAATATATCAGGCAACATCTGAACGTGACTATGAACATCGCAGTAGTCTGTAAATGGCCATAATTTGCAGTGTTCTGCAAATCACAGCATCCTGCAAACCACAGTACTATTCTGACAATGGAACCAAAAAATATGAGCTGTCAAAAGTGCCGACAGTTACTGGAAATACTCTCGAAGGAAACCATTAAAAGAGAGAGAGAGAGAGAGAGAGAGAGAGAGAGAGAGAGAGAGAGAGAGAGAAGAGAGAGAGAGAGAGAGAGAGAGAGATGATGATGATGACTCTTAAGATATGTTCCATCCTCTTTACTTTTTTTTTATTCTTCCCAGTCTTAATTTTATCCCTACTCTCTTCATTTTTCACTTATTCTCTACTCTCTCCTCTCTCTCTCTCTCTCCTCTCTCTCTTCTCTCTCTCTCTCTCTCTCTCTCTCTCTCTCTCTCTCTCTCTCTCTCTCTCTCTCTCTCTTCCCCGCGTTCTTCTCTCTTTTTCGCTTCGTTCTCCAACTCTTCCCCTTCCACGTTTTCGCCAATTCTCTCCTTATTCGTTCACTTCTCTACTCAATGATCTCTCTCATATTCATTCCTTTCACATTCTTCCCTGCTTCTTCCTCCCTCCCTCCCTCCCTCTCTCTCTCTCTCTCTCTCCTCTTCCTCTCTTCTCCCTCTCTTTTCTCTCTCTCTCTCTCTCTCTCTCTCTCTCTCTCTACTCTCTCTCTCTCTCTTTCTCTCTCTCTCTCTCTTCACCACCTTCCCCTCTCCTGCCTTAACCCGATACAAGAAAAATGATAAACATTCTGTTATGGACTCGGAAACGGTTGGTAATGAAGAGGAAAAGACACATCGCAGCTGGTATGTTTATGTTATTGACAGCCTCGTGTGGTATTACTGTGTCACTGGAACCTATATTGGGGACCTGTACCACGGGACCTGCACTAGCGGACCTACACAAAGGGAAATACACTAAGGGACTTGCAAAAGGGAGCTTAGACTAGGGGATCTGCACCAGTCGACCTGGTCAAGAGGTCTTGAAGGATACCTGAAGGAAGCTTCCGGGGGTCAGCGCCCCAGCAGCTCGGTCTCAGACCGAGCTGCGAAAGCGTTGACATGATCAACCAGGCTGTTCCTGATGGCGGCACCCAGTATAAAATGTGTGGAACTTGTTCAGTTCTCTCTTGAAGACAGCCAGAGGCCTGTTAGTAACTTCCCTTCTGTGCACGGAGGAAGGACATTGAAGAATCGGGGACCTCTGACACTCGGCGAATTTTATAAGTATTCGTCTCGGTCTTGTTTTTTATTAAAGGTACTTTGCACTGTCTCCCAAGTCTCTCGTTGTCATACTGAGTAATTTTAGTGACTAGGTTTGGAACAAGGCTTTCCAGGATTTTCCTGGTGTAAATTATGATGTTCCTTTCTCATCTATGTTCTAAGGAATACAGTTGAAGGGACTTGTAGCGTGTAGTTCAGATGCTTAATTAAATGTATACGGGCAGTGAAAGTTTTCTACACATTTTCCAGGAAGCAGTCTCGCCTGCCATGAAGGGCAGTTCAGTAGTATTCTAGCCTGGAGAGAACAAGTGACTTGAAGAGAATTATCATTGGCTCAGCATCTCCTGAATTAGGGGACCTGCATTAGGGAGAACCAGGCAACCCACACGCTATAAAGGGAGGGGACCAGCCCGACGGAAAAGTAAGGAGTCCTGCAAGAGGGACAGGCACGAGACCTGCATGAAGGGACTGGGACGGGGAGAGAATGGAAGCAGGTTGCTGCTGATTTTAACTATTGTTTCTGGATTGAGATGTGTGTGTGTGTGTGTGTGTGTGTGTGTGTGTGTGTGTGTGTGTGTGTGTGGTGTGTGTGTGTGTGTGTGTGTGCAAGCGCATGTGCCTGTGCTCGTGCATGCTCTGGTGAGCATATTCGCTTGCGCATGAGAGCACATACACTGTTTTTCACACTATAACCTCTTTCGGAGACACTTGCGTTATTTCTTAACCACCAAATGTCAGTTTTCAGAAACATAATCACATATAATACCGCGGGTTTTCGCTCGAGCTGAAAAAAAAAAAACAGAATACCTATTTTTCTCTGTGTCAAAATACATATGCGATTATTTCAAGTAAACTGCTCGCAATTCGCATTAGAGAACTCCAGCTGTATTACAAATGAAGCCAAACATGAAAGTGGATGAGAAGTTGACAAAATAGAGTTGGACAGTATATTTGCGCGCATTATTCACGCCATTTTTCACGCTTGTTCATGATTTATGTAACTAGCGCCTCTGTATATAACGAATTATTTACGGAGCTCAGGTTTTCAAAGGCGCCTCTTAGGTTCAAATATGCGCTGAAGAGTTGGTTGTGTGAGGTGCTACGCTCGTGTGTTGGTTTACTTGATGTATTGGACGACTTTTCGCTCTTTGTTGATCATTATTAAGTCTTGACTCGATAAAGTTCTACGCAGAGTTAAACGCTGTCCCAGGAAAGAAGTCTGTTCTGCAACTTGTGTTTTGATCTGTAAACCCGTGTAGGAGTAGTAGACGTTCGGTCGTCCTTCCGTTTATCACGAGGCAGATTCACTCGCCGCCCGACTGTCCTCGCTTAGTCCAGTGACAGGACGGTGATGGGTCAGTGCTCCTGGGTTTCGTGCTCTTCTCAACTCTTCTTGACATAACGCTATGTTTTCTCAGCTTCAGCAACCCTGAAGGAGAATCTCCAGTTAGTCGTGTTAGACACACTCTTAGCACAAACCTCTCTTATAGATGACGTTTCGCTGCGAAACTCGCGAAACTGGCCACAGGTTACATGTATATTCAAGTGTAACTCTTCAAGGGAATCGATGAAGGGGTCACCTTGATGCTGATCAAGGGCTTTTGTTGCTAAACATTAGCGCTAACCCGCTCCTTATTAAGATCAAACTTGATTACCTCCCATTCTCCAACAGCTGTATCACTCTTACGGGTTTAGCTCTTCCTGGTGAATATAATAATACAACAGGACGCAAATGGATGTTGTTGACCAGTTAACAATCTTTATTTAATTTCTGTTATAGCGATCAACGGTCAGAAAGCTGGATAGCAAGCAGGTATGGTGATACCAACAGTATAGATAATATACCATGGTTCTTGAGGGGTCCTGAATATCCATAGGAGTAGATAGTTCTTCTCAGCAAACAGCAGATGATACAGTCTTAGAAATAACTTTCGGTGTTACTGGTTCTGGAGCTGTTACTGCAGATGGTACAATCTAGGAAACAACTTATGAGCTTGCAAGTCCTCTGCTATCTGTCCTTTCCATGTGCTCCCACGTATGTAGATAACATTTGCACTGCTCAAGACATTGGGGTAACGTTTCACCACGGGAGGCTTCCTCAGAATCCTCACTGGACTAAGCGGCATGGGAGGCTTCCTCAGAAGCCACCCGTGCCGAAATTTTTCCTTAATAAATGTCTTGTTCTGTGCATATGTCTTTTGCTACAACTGTCAGAACTTTCGGAGCTGAAGAAAAGATCCGTCTCATTGTTTCGAGATGTTGAGGTAACAAATTGTCATTATTTTCATAAATGCTAAACCTGTATGTGTCAACCAGCGTCTGGGAAATGAGTGGTAATGAAGTTTGAGCCATGATAAAGTAGAGTAGCTGGAGTTCCTTAAATCAAGAGCCTTTGACAGGCATCGAGGCTGAAGGGCGAGGACATAAATGAGTTATGTAATGAGGATGGGGAAAACCTCTTGTATTATGGGTAAAAAAAAAAAAAGGCTATAACATATGAATTTATTTATTCTGTTTTTAAAGCCCCTTGAAGAAAGTTCACTAAACAGCAGTTTATTCCCATATGGTGTCTTAAACCAAAATA